GGTATAGTAGTTGTGACTCATTCACACTATATACATTTGGCTTCCGCAACAATTGGTAACATTATTATCACTTGGGATTAATTTCTGAAAGATCGTGATATATTTGTCTTTGTCCTGAAATGTGTAAATTTCTTTTCTCGAAAATTTCATTCATTTATCAAACTTAACCTTGAAAGAGGTAAAATTAAACCAAAAAAATTATTAAATGCTCGGATATTTTTGTGAAATTATTTATCTTCCAATTACAAATACTGGTTTAATTTGTCTGCGCCATCGCAGGTGCGGAAATCCCATCGCACCTGCGATCTCAGCTGACACCCTCCAACTCCGGGCCTGCGCTCGAGCTACCGCACCTGCGGCATCGCATATGCGCCCAAATCTCCGCTTTTGCGGTCTTCCTCACCCAGCACTATTCTCGAATCTGCGACGCCTTTGTTGCTTATGCGGCCATCGCACCTGCGCAAACCAACCGCAGGTGCGATCATACCAGGACAAGCAGCCTCCAGCTTTGCACAAGAAGTGAAAATGATCTGAACCTCATCCAAAACTCATCCGGGCCACTCGGGACTCCGACCGAATATACTTACAAGTCCAATAACATAATACGGACCTACTCGAAGCCTCAAATCACGCATAACCACATCAAAACGACGAATCGCACCTCAAATCGAAATCTATGAACTTTGAAACTTTAACTTCCACAACTGATGCCAAAACCTATTAAATTACATCCGATTGACCTCAGATTTTGCACACACGTCACATTTCACATTACGGACCTATTCCAATTTCCAAAATCGGATTCCGACCCCGATATCATAAAGTCCACTCCCGGTCAAACTTTCTAAAATTTTAACTTTCACCATTTCAAGTTAAATTCCACTACGAACCTCTGAATCGCAATCCGGGTGCGCTCCTAAGTCCAAAATCACCCAACGGAGCTAACAGAACCATCAAAACTCTGTTCTGGGTTCAAATTCACAAAAAGTCAAACTTGATCAATTCTTCCAATTTAAAGCTTCGACAATGAAATCCATTCTTCCAATTCGATTTTGAATAACCTGAAAATCAAAACCAATGATTCACATAAGTCATAATGCATCATACGGAGCTGCTCATGCCCGTAAACTACCGAGCGAAAAAATAATATGCACCATAAATTAAAATATTCCAGCAATCTATGTTAATGTATGTGACGGACAATAATGTATGAAATGTTAATAATGATCTATGAAACGATAACAATATTACGCAATAATATCAAGTATATTGAAGGTGAAACCATATATACCATATACTAAATGCGTACCTTTAACTTTTCGTATTTTGAATATTTTTTACGGCAGTGAACATCATTTTTTGTTCCTTCCTGAACATTCTCCACATAAAAATCATCCTCGACTTCATCTTCTATAATTTTTCCTTTGACTTTAGCCTTCACATATAGAAAAAGCACCGTAGTTTACTAAATTGAAAAATATGAACAATTAAGATTCAATATCTAAACTGATAATATACTATATATTCTGAACTATATTTAATACTTATAAAGTTTAACTTCATATGATAGTTAATGCCTCTAAAAGTTTAGCATATATATGCTCGGAGTATACTATATATTGTAGACATTACTACGAAATACCTTTGAGGAACCTTTGGAAGCATCTACTCCGCTATTAACTACTACAACTTGACTCGAATCCAAACAGAAATCATCATCATCATCGTCAAACACTACATATTTACTCTTGCAAATCTTCTTCACACATTCATCTCTGCCGTGTTTTTTCCAGAAATCTTTTAATCTTCCTTTTTTCCATATGCAACTTGTTGATAATTAGAATGAGGGTAATGGCTGGCATGTGATGTTGGTGCACTAGAACTATGTGATATTGACAAAAAATTGGTTCTTTTTAAAAGATGATTCTGAAATTTCTTCAATCCGAACATTGTCTCTACCACCACTATCCATGATTTTCTGAGCAATTTGTTTTCTATGCATTTTGACATACACAGAATATATTATAGACGAAGAAAATGGGATACACGCTATGATATACTGGAATATCTTTTACTAAAGAAATTTGGGAGGGGGGAGGGGGGAATTGATAGTGATAGATACGTTAGGTGAGAAAGAATCAGAAAGAAAAATCTTTTAAGTGAAAGAGAATCTCAAAGAAAGATTTTAGGATATGAAAAATTGTACATAATTTAATTAAAAAGGTAAGATTATAAAATAAACTGTACTAAAAGTAATTTTGTTAAAACAATTGTAGAAAATATAAAAGTCTTCCTCCGTCACAATGGGAGATTGGGCTCTTCTATCAAGTGTTGTAGGCCTTGCCTCAATACTACATCGACCCTTCAAATGGCAAAACTTCAGTTCTAGGTCTGACGACATAAATGTTTTTAGAAAAATATTTAGAACAATTCGTACATAATTCTTTTTAATTTCTTTTTGATTTGAGTCTAAGCAAAATTCAAATACGTAATGCTATTCATACGTAGTTACACAAGCAAGTGAAGACAGCACATATAACTAAATTTCACTATGCTTGAGTAGTTGAGTTCTCGATTCTTCAGACTTAGAAAAGAAAAAAGACCAATTTAAGTTAATTTCACCTTTCCCTTTAAAATATTGAATACTCCAGTTTTCCACACCTTCGAATGATGCCAAATTATTGCATATATTCACCACCTACACCTACACAGTACCCACCAAACCAAATGCATAAAATCCCACCATATATATATAGCACTCAGATCCCCCAACATTACTCTCTCACCCGTCTTTCCCCACTCCTTATTTTTCCTTCACCCCCCACCCCCATCCCACACACAAACATTATTACATTAACATAAGCAAAAACTATTCTTGAAACCTAAGCTTGTTTGCATTCATATATTCATATCAAGATGGCCTCCGCCTGCATATCAACTTGCGTTAACGACATCGCCAGAGCACCGGTAAGAGCCACATATATAAACCTCTATAAATGGCCGGAATCCGACGCCGAGTTCATAAAATCAGTCAGCAAAAGAATGAACCACGTGAATACCGACGGGTCCATTAATCATCAACCAAAGCCAAAGGTTGTGGACAGCATTTCATGCAGGCAATTATACTTAAGAAGCTACACTTTTTCAAGAGAAGATAACGTTAATGAGAAAACAGTACTGAATTGCTATGGAAGAGTGAAAGATGGGGTTGGTGGAGGGGGTCGTAGAAGAAAGAAAAAAGCTCGTAATATTGCCGGTAGTAATAATTCAAGTGGTGGCCGGAGGAGTAGCAGAAGAAAACGTAAAGCTGGTTTTAGAAGGGCTAAGGAGATATCATGCGCTGCTTTGGCTTCCATTTTCCGACGACTATTATCTTGCACAACTAAGGTTGATGTGGTTGGTTAACGCTAAATTAATTGCTTACTTATTTGAAGACTTTTCCTTCATTTTCTTCCATGTTTTATTTCATTTTCTCTTTTCTACTTTGGCCTTTGAGCTTTTACTTAAACAGCTAGCATGTTGTTTGCATATATGGAACCGAATATTATGGTAATGTATGGATTATTGATCGGATTTAATACAAGAATGTTATTTTTGTGGTAGGATATTGATCGAGGAAATGGAGCTAGCGTTTTGACATAAATTTGGTTGAAACTTGAAAGAAATGAGTTTTTGAATGAAATATAATTTTTGAATTAGAAATTGTGTTTGAACATGTATTTTACTTGGAAAAAATTTAAAGCTTTGTGACCTATAGTTGTTTTTGGGATTTGAAGATTTTGATTTCAAAATCTGCCAATGTTTAAATTCTAGAAACAAACTGATATTTAAAAACAAAATTTGAAAAAAAGCTCCCAAATTTTATGGCAAAAAAACATGAGCTAAAACTTCTCTGTGTGTGTGGGTGGGTGGGGGCAGGAGCGAAGCTATGTTGGCCTAAGGGTGGTCAACTGAACACCCTTCGCCGAAAAATTATATTACATATAAGGTAAAATATAACTGATATTGATTAAAAAATAGACTTTGAACACCCTTGCATAGTCCACTGGCAAAGGGTGTTCAAAATTTGAACACCCTTATTGAATTTTCTGGCTTCGCCACCGGGGGTACCGGAGTTATTGGCCAATATAATTCAGCTAATTTTAAATGGTTTGGATTTTAAACTTTAGTGATTTTTCTTATCTCAAATTATATTACTCCTACTTCGTATATTTTTTTAAAATATAAACGGTGTAAGTATGGTGTGTTATACATATATTTTTTTAAACCAAATATCGTAGGCTATAAGATGAAACTTTTCTTCAAATCTGTATCGAGTGACACCCTTTACTAAAGGGCGTCTCAGCCATTGGTCTTGTAGTTTTATCTTCTAATTGCTGAATTTATAAATAACAATAGTGGTTTACATTGAATTGTCTCATTAAAGTTTTACTTGTGATTTAGGTTAGTTTGTGAGTAAGCAAAGCAAAGCGGATTTGGCTCACCTCTTCATTTTTCGAATCTTCGGCCAAGGTTTATTTAAAGTAAATCTTGGTTAAACTAAATATTGTCCTCTTTTAGTTTTAGTTGGGCAGACAAATAAAAAAATATAGGATTTTTTAGTTTTAATCTTGGTAAGAAAATATTTTTTCTCTCTGACTAACTAATTTTAACTGCCCAATCAGAACGGAAAAAAAATGTGCAAAAGAAAATTATTTTTCATTCTAATCCATCAAAAGAATATTTAGTTTAATCAAAATTTACTCTAAATAAACCTTGGCCCTTAAATCCGAAAAATAACAAATGCCATTAAATTAAATTAAATGTACATTGAAAAATGGAGAGATTATGTACCGGAGGTGATCCAAATCCAAAGCAAAGGGAGACCTTAGGAGCTAAAGTACTTTTTTGCCCAAGAAAGAAAGACAGAGACGTGCATTCTGTCTCTCTGCTTTGCTTCGTAAGAATCAAAGGGCGGCAAATCAGCTAGTTTCCACGGGCACTGGAGTTACGTATTCTTTTGTTTTTTGTCAACATAAATTGTACCCTCTCATTTTGTTTCAGTTTACGTGAATTTATTTCTTTTTTGGTTCATTTAAAAAAGAATGATCACTTTCTAAATTTGAAAGCAGTTTAACTTAAATTTTCAATTTTACCCTTAATAAGAACCTTTTATAATCACACAAATATTCTCGATCCCTTTTTGACTTATTTAAGACCATAAATTCAAAAATTCTTTATTTTTTTAAAACTTCGTACCCAGTCAAAGAGATTCATATAAATTGGAACGGAGAGAGTAACAAAATTGACGAGGACTATACTAAACGAGAGAGATAAAGACAAAGTTGATTATTAACAAAAAGAATAAAAGAAAAGGATTAGAGGAAATTTGAATCTTGAAGCATAGTCCAACTTTAATCAAATTAGACCTCGTTTATGTTTATCATGTCTGCGCGCGTCTAATCCGTTGGGTATAAACAATATATAACGTCATCGTTGCTAAAAGAAATAAAGAAGAAGGAAAAAGCAAACAAGAAAAACGTATAGATATAGAGGATGTATTTGTTTTAATTTTTAAAATAGTAAGCAGTAAGTCAGTAACTAAAAGGACAACTCGATGAATGAAGTTACGAATATTAGCTTTAACTACATATATTAGCTTTTTAGAGAGGACGAACCCGTGTATAAGTTACGGATTCGGCCGAACCCTATAACCTTAGTCTAAACTCTGTATTTGTCTTAAGAAATTCGTTGGATATATATAAATTATTAAATTTAGAAAAGAATAACTTACAAATGACTAAAATTCAAAACCCATAAATTTTAAATCTCGGTTCCACCTATGTTTTTAGGAATTGATATTTCTTTAGCTCTAAAGTTATTAGGGATTGAACAAAACTTGATTGATCGTATTTGTAGGCTTTTATCTAAGAACTAGAAAAGCAGAAAATTGCGTCAATCTTATCCCATAAGCTATACCATACCATAAAAGTCTCCTCAAAAGTTCAAGCCATATTCACATGATTGGATTATCCGAACACGTTCTTTACTAAAAGGAGTTCTCCTTATACCTTTGCAGTTTCCAATTATTCAACAACTTAAATCTCTACATTGTGTGTTCTTGGACGTAAAACATTTATCTACCTCTCTAGAAGTCCACTTCATCACAATTCGTTTATAATATGTGTTTCACCTAGAGACGTTGGGCATTATTATTAATTCTGTAAAAGTAAATTATGCTTACATGTTACCATACCATATAATTATAACCACTCATTTGTGTAACCCCCCCCCCCCCCCCCAAA